AACAGATGCTGGAGCACAAGTGTTACGAGGAGGCTGAAGTTTTAAACTTAAATGTCTGTGTACTTTGGGCTCAAAAAGTTGGAAAATGTGATCCTAAGGCATAAAGGTATGGAATGGAGAGATCAAAGGGGAAGGGCTTACGGAGACAAGCTGTTCTGGGAGAGGGAAAGCCATGAGTCCGGTTTGGAACTTGCTGAAGCAATGACAAGAAAAACAATTAGAGATGTCGACTGGGGACTTGCAAAGAGCAAAACTGACACAAGGCTCCTGAAAGGACAAATCGCAGTCTCTCTAAAAGAATTAAGGTACAGGAGTGGAATCAATTCAGCAAGGAAAACAGAATGCAGAGAAACAGAAAGAAAGATAGCATCTTGAAGCATACTTGAAAGGAGGAAAAAGGCAAGGGGCCAACAGTTCTAAAAGGAATTCAGAAGGATCCTGGTGGCACGACTGAAGTCGACGGAATCTTTGTCCTGTTTGTGTCCCTGAGTAGGTGTCTGTGCTAAGTGCTTTGTAAAGCAGTACAGATTATAAATAAAAGTCTGTGGGCAGTGACAGAAAAACAACACATACGTTGTCAGTGCAACTGGGTCTGTCTGGCCCTGCCCCTCCTCCACCCTGGTCTCCCCGCCCCCACCCTCCCAACAGTGGTTTGAAGATGTACTTAAATTCAGACTGGGGAACACCCACACCGAAATTTCCTCTGGCTGGCAGCATCCAGCACAAAATGTCTCTCTCCTCTCCTGACTTCTCTTCGCCTCCTCTCTGCTCCAAACATAGGTTAGGAGATTCCACCCTCTTTGTGTCAAAATAGTATGTGGGCAGTCATCTTAGGGCATCCATGTTCTTTTATTTATCCACCATCTTCAGGATTTTATAAGGTGGTTATGCAGTTTTGGATTGCTTTGTTCTTAACAAAACCTCACAAATTCTACTCGGCTATGGCTTCTGTTGGTTAATTGGGTGTTCATCACCTGATAAACCACAGGCCTCCTCCAGGGCAAGGGGGAACAAGTCTGCAGCTCACTAGATCTCTGGTACTGTTCTGCTTGTCTACCCCTCAGGGTGCCCACAGACCCATAGGGATGGCTTAGTTGCACAGCTGGCATTCAGCCCTAGAGACTGTGGATCTTGAAGAGCACGTAAAATGCCAAAGTTATTAAGATTTTAGTTATTTTATAGCAAATGTTCTGCATGGCCATTATTTTCACCTTCCTGTGAATCAATACTATTAAGGATGAACTTTCTAAGGCAAATCTTTCATTTTGTTTAAAATATCTGAGATGCTCATTCAGAAATATGGATACAACCAACATGTCTAATTTGAAGAGTAATGATAAAGCAAACATCAAGGCTCAGAAGTAGAATATGATCCTCACCTCACACTCCTCATGTAGCCCTCTGGTCACATCGCCTCTGTCTCCCTAGAGAGAAATAAACACTTGTGGTAGTCATTTCTTTGTTTTTCTATCTATGCACGTATCCTAAATGTATAATTGGAGCTTATGTTATATAAGTAGAAATATTCTATTTTTCCTTTGGTTGACTTGCTTTTTTTTCCAGCCAATGCAGCAGCTCACCATACTGTTAACATTTTTATTGCAATATCATATTCACAATATGATTATAACATAATCTATCCATTCTTTCATTGATATGTTCAGGTTTAGCTATTACGAAACACGCACGTGCAGATTCTATCGCACTGTAGAGTCTTCAGTTTTGTTACATGCCAGTCTCCCAAGGTGATCACTTAAACCTATGCTACCATAAGTATGTGCAGACTCACCTTGCTCCTTTACCCTTGTTAAAAGTGATCACTGCCAGACTTTTTCCTTTGATGTGGTGGTGTCTAATAGAAGTGCATTATGGTTCTTATGCTCTTTCTATTGCATGTTTATGAATAATGATATTGATATTTTCACGTGTCGCTCATTTTGCATTTCCTCTTTGGTGCTGTAGCCATTTAAGCCTTTGCCCATTTTTTAAGCTTAGGTCATTTCTTACTGATTTGTAGATGCTCATTAAAGATTCTGGGTCCCGGGCCTGGCACGATAGCATAGCAACTAAACTCCTCGCCTTGAATGCACCAGGATCCCGTATGTATACAGGTTCTAATCCTGGCAGGCCCACTTCCCATTCAGCTCCCTACTTGTGGCCTGGGAAAGTAGCTGAGGACAGCCCAAAGCCTTGGGACCCTGCATCTGTGATGGAGACCTGGAGGAAGCTACTGGCTCCAGACTTTGGATCAGCTCAACTCCAGCTGTTGCAGCTGTTTGGGGAGTGAACCATCGGATGGAAGATCGTCCTCTCTGTCTCTCCTTCTCTCTGTATATCTGTCTTTCCAATAAAAAGAAAAATAGATCTTAAAAAAAAAAAAGATTCTGGGTATGAACTGTTGTTGGTCTTTCTAACTTCTCCCACAGTGTGTTCTTACTTTTCCACTCACTTCATGATGGTGACTGGTAAAGAAAATTCTTACATTTTTAGATAGCTGAATTTATTGATTTTCTTTTTCTTTTATGGCTGAAAAAACTTCTTGGGGGCTGGCATGGTGGTATAGTAGGTTAATCCTTGGCTTGTAATGCTGACATCCCTTTTGGGCACCAGTTTCTATCCTACCTGTTCCACTTTCCATACTGCTCTGTGCTAAGGGCCTGGGAAAGCAGGAGGACAGGTCAAGTCCTATGGCTCCTGTATCTACATGGGAGAAATGGAAAGAAATTCCTGGCTCCTGACTGGTTCCACTCCTGCTATTGCATTCATTTTTGGAATGAACCAGTGGCTGAAAGGCCTCTTTGTCTCTCTATTCGTAGAATCTGTCTTTCAAATAAAAATAAATTAAAAAAATAAACACTTCAGCCCAGCACTATGGCTCAATGGGCCCTTAGCTGCTAGGCCACGCCGCCAGGCCCAACTATCATAACTTCTTACAAATCCATTAACTTCTAAAATGCTGAACTCTTTAGAATTTATTTTGTGAAAAATACAACTTAGAAGTGACATGATGTTCTTTGTTACTTAAGTGTCAGGTGATGATGCTGCTTTGTTGTATTAATGTATTTGATTCTCAAGTCCACTTTTGTTAAGTGTTGGTTAATACATTTGTAATGTTCCATGGTATGTTTTCAATATCTGAAAAAGTCTGGAGATGGGGATTCGGCCTAGCCACTAGGATGCCAGCCAGAGCATCCATGTTCCATATCAGAGTACTGAGATCCAGTTCTCCTAACTGCAGCATCCTGCCAGTGCAGACCCTGAGATGCAGTGCTGAGGATTCAGGTAATTAAGCTCCTGCCACCCACAATGGGAGGCCTGGATGGAGTTTCCAGCTCTTGGCTGGAGCCTGGCCCAGCCCTAGGTTTTTGCAGCATTTGGGGAATGAACCAGTAGAGGGGAGTCTTCTTGGTCTGGCTGTTATCTCTGTCTGCATGTCAAATAAATAAACCTATATAAAACATAAATAATAAATACTTAAAATTTGTTGAGAGCTGCTTTATAACTAAGTATATGATTGATTTAGGGATGTGTCATGTTTGTTTTCAAAAATGTACACTGATCTTGGTTGTGGTGTTTTCATACCATTTACAAGTTTGTAAATGATGTTATTTAACTTTTCCTATCCTTATTTTTTCTTGCTCAATAGTTACTGAGAAAGACCGTTGAAATCTCCAACATGATAATGTATTTGTAATTCTAATTTCACTTTCACAGATATTTACCATTATAAGTGCATGGAAATAAAATCCATTTCTTTCTAAAAGCCAAAGTTACCTAAGACATCCCATCAGTCATAATTAAAAGATATACTGTTTATATAAACTGACCTGAAGGGACATAGTGTTATAACAGAGGGTGGCTCAGGTAAGCTAACATAATCTTCCATTACAGTCCATTGCCCACTGTGGAAATACTCTGCGTTCAGGTCGACCTAAGCGTGGTATTAGCTGGCTTCACCTTGAGAGTTTGTGACTTGTTGAATTAGGAAACGACCAAACCCCAGCAGGGAATGCAGGGCTGTAAGCTGCCCGCGAGGTATATAAGCTGCTTGCTGGGACTTTATTAATACTAGATGAAGCAGCAGGTGGCTAGTGCAGGACCGAACACCAGCAACTGACTTATATCCACAGTCACTTTTAACAGGTTCTGCTGAGGAGTGAACAAACAGTAGCTTCTCGAAGCTAGTTTTCACTCCGTTGAAAACTAACACTGGCTTTGGGCTGGGGGGTTAAAAAAAAAAAAAAGAGGCACAGGGTGAGATTAAAACAGTAATATTTACTTTCTCCATTACCGTGGGCACTTATTTGGGTTCTCAGCCCGGGCCCTTCTGGGATTTCACAGCTTCTTTTTGGGGCAGTTTCATTCCTGTCTTTTCATCTACGAAGAGAGGGGGTTTGGCCGCCTCACATGCTCCGTGCACCTCCTGGTCCGGCAGGGCCCGCATGCTGACAGCCTCGCAGGCGGGGAGGGGCAGAGACACCGTGGGAGCAGAGGCACTGTGGGGGCAGAGAGACACCGTGGGAGCAGAGACACTGTGGGGGCAGAGACACCGTGGGGGCAGAGACACTGTGGGGGCAGAGACACCGTGGGGGCAGAGACACTGTAGGGGCAGAGACACTGTGGGGGCAGAGACACCGTGGGAGCAGAGACACTGTGGGGGCAGAGACACCGAGGGGGCAGAGAGACACTGTGGGGGCAGAGACACCGTGGGGGCAGAGACACTGTAGGGGCAGAGACACTGTGGGGGCAGAGACACTGTGGGGGCAGAGACACCGTAGGGGCAGAGACACTGTAGGGGCAGAGACACTGTGGGGGCAGAGACACCGTGGGGGCAGAGACACACTTTAGGGCCAAGGCGGCTCTGCCCATGACCGAGGTTCCGCCGCTCTCAGGACCTGGTGACCGCCTCTGTGTCCCGGGCAGGGCCGGCCAGTCACCTCTACAGGTTAAAAAAAAACACACACACATCCGGAAGTCCCGCCCTCCCTGAGACGCCGTACGGCTGCCGGGAAGGGTCCATAGAAGCCCGGCGGGTTCGCCGCGCGCCTTGTGGTTCGCGGTTGCTGGGGTCTACACTGGGGGCCGCTGAAGCCCGAGCCGGGAAAGCGACCCTGCTTGGCGGCAGGACTTGGCCTGCCCGCCTCTGCCTCTGGTTGTCGGGCAGCGTGATCCTCTCCTCCGTGGGAAGCCAGGCCCGGGCGGGCGGAGAGGTCGGCATGCGGGCGGGCCCGGGCGGGGGGCGCGTGGACGAAGGGCCCCGGAGTTGATTTCTTGGTCCCCAGAGACCGCAGGCTGTCCATTTGCACAACGCGGTGGCGAGCACTCGTGGGGCTGTTTAGGAATCGTGTCCCTGCACACACGTTTGTAAACTGGACCATGCAGTCCGGATGAGGAACCGCTGTCCGAGTGCGAGTGGGGACCCCGTTCCTAGCGCCGCTTCTCTGACTTGGGTGGCCTTGCCCGGCCGCCCGGGGCTGTGGTCGCTCAGAGCTGGGCGGGACTGGACCCGGAGAAGGACGTGGTCCTGTCGGGGCAGGGAGAGGTCGTTGCAGCAGGAGAGCTCAGGCACGTCCCTTCCTGCAGCGCACAAACGAGCTACACCTGCCAGGTAGCTTCTCCTAAGTGGACTGGTGGACAGTGGCTTCCTGAAAATCCCGACGCATAAAGGAAGGCGGGCGGGACAGTGGCTTCCTCTTCCTAGTGGTTCATGTGGCCGTGTTCTGTCCCTAGGAGGAATGGCAGCCCCGTCCATGAAGGAAAGGCAGGCTTGCTGGGGAGCCCGCGACGCCTACTGGAAGTGCTTGGATGAGCATACGGAGGATGCCTCTCAGTGCCAGAAGCTCAGGAGCTCCTTTGAGTCCAGTTGTCCCCAACAGTGGGTGAGTGCCTGATGGCTCTCTGGGCGGCAGCCTTTGCAGGCCAGCCCCACCGCAGTTTATTCCATTCCTTGTGTGGCAACCCAGGCTTAGTTCATGTGTGTGGATCAGGCTACCCTTTGGAGAATGTCACCGAGTGTCTTTAAGTTCCTTGAAGACAAACATGAATGATAGCAAACAAAGCAAAACAACACCCAGCTTGCTTCTGGGATCTTCTGAAGGGTTAATACCTCCCACTAACCTCGCACAGGAGTTGTCTGGTGTGTATGTGCTTAGCGACTGCTTTCTCAAAATCACATAAGTGCCCACACCATAAATAAAGGCCTGCTCAGGAGAAGAAGTAAAAGGCTCATGTGGTGGAGCTGAAGGCTCGTGCTCTGCTTTGCCTGGCCTCAGTGAGGAGGGGTCAGAACAGGTTGCTGGGGGTTTTGTTTTTGAAAGATTTATGTATTGTTACTGGGAAGAGAGGAAGAGGCACAGAGAAAAAGGTCTTCTGTTCACTAGTTCACTCCCCAGATGCCTGCAGGGCTGAAACTGAGCAGATCCAAAGCCAGGAGCCGGGAGCTGCTGCTGCGTCTCCCCTATAGGTGCAGGGTCCCAAGGCTTTGGGCCATCCTCGACTGCTTTCCCAGGCCACAGGCAGGGAGCTGGATGGGAATACAAACTGATGCCCGTGTGAGATTCTGATACTTGAAGGGAGAGGATCCGCCTGTTGAGCCTTTGCGCTGGGCTGTAGGAGCCGAGATTCTGGAGGCTAGGAGGTTCCTCCGTGGCCGATGCTTGTGCCCTCGTCTTTGTTACAGAGAATGTGGCTGACTCTCGGAGCACTGCAGTAACTTACCCTGTGACCAAGTCGCTGATCTGAAATTTCAGGTCGGGCTGGCTGGCTGATGGGAGAGATTTGCACCTGGATTTGTACTTTTTGATTATATCATGCTGCTCCAAGGTATACTATGTAGCTTGTGAACAGTTAACTTTAGAGGTGAAATGATTTTAGAGTTTTTACCGTTTAACACCGAAGTTCTTGAGTCAGTCACTTGATGCTGTGGGCAACCAGAAGGGTCTGAGGATGGGTGTGAGGAGCATTTTGGCGGGCTCAGCTGGGGGTGAATGCAATGAATGGGGATTGTTATTGCAGAAATTCTTCATCTATTTGTGGTAAAGATTTTGTTTAAAAAGATTTTAGCTGCACCTGGCGCCATAGCCTAGTGGCTAAAGTCCTCGCCTTGCAAGTGCCAAAAACCCACATAGGCGCTTCACATATTCTGCTTCCCTTCCAACTCTCTGCTTGTGGCCTGGGAAAGCAGTCAAGGATGGCCCAAAGCCTTGGGACCCTGCACCTGTGTGGGAGACCTGGAAGAAGTTTCTGGCTCCTGGCTTTGGATCAGCTCAGCTCCTGCCCCTTGCAGCCACTTGGGGGTATGAGTCAGTGGACGGAAGATCTTCTTCTCTGTGTCTCCTCCTCTCTGCATATTTGAGTTTCCCATAAAAATAATAAAAATGAGTAAATCTTAAAAGATTTTTTTTTAGTTGAAAAGCCGGAGTGACAGAGAGATTCTATCCACTGGTTTACTCCCCCGATGATCAGAACAGCCAGGACTGGTCCAAACCGAAGTCAGGAGTCAGGAGCTTCTTCTGTATCTCCCACATAGGGGTGCAGGGCTCCAAGCCCTTGGACCATCTTTCACTGCTCCCCCAAGAGCATTAGCAGGAAGCTGGGTCCAAAGTGGAGCAGACAGGACTTGAACCAGAACCCATATGGGATGCTGATGTCACAAGCAGCAGTTTCTTCCACTGCACCACTCCACTAGCCCTGCTATAAGGATTTTTTAAAGCTTTATTCTTATTAATTTTTATTGGAAAGTCAGATTTAAGAGAGAAGGAGACAAAGAGAAAGATCTTCTGTCTCTGCCAGTTCACTCCCCAAGTGATCACAATGGCAGGAACTGAGCTGACAGCTTTTTCCAGGTCTCCCACGCAGGTGCAGGGTCCCAAAGCTTTGGCCCGTTCTCAATTGCTTTCCTAGGTCACAAGCAGAGAAGTGGAAGGAAAATAGAGCGTCCAGGATATGAACCAGTGTACTTATGGGATCCCAATGCATGCAAGGCGAGGAATTTAGCCATTAGGCTACTGCTCTGGGCCCTGTGTAAGGATTAAATATGACTTGATATGTAACTTGGAAATGTGGACTGTGATTGAATTAGATGCAACTTAGGCAGAGAAATATACATTTGTGTACATTCTTATTAAACTGATGCATTTAGAGCATCTCCTGCGGCAGGAAGTAGATGGGACTTGTCGGAGTTGGGACTTAACGTTAGATGTGTCTTCGTGCTTTGCCCTCCTAGAGCCATGGCCATGAGAGCAAGGTTGGACTGAGCCCAAGGAAGAACTTGGTGCTCTCAGAGGGGTTGGTGCTGGTGAGGAAGAACATGGTTAAGGCTGGGATATTGGCAGGTTCCTCCCCCTACCCCCTTCCCTGAGTTCTCACAAACCACCTCTATTTTCCCAGGAGAACCCTGTTACCATAACATCTGTTTGGACAACCTAGTTGCTAGTTTCCTTGGTTTGCACATCAGAAGCACAGGGATGTTTTGCCGAGCCGGATCTAGATTCTGATTCAGGTGCAATGAATTTCTGTAAATGGGGTCCACCTCCCCTTCAAGGGGCTCTGGTCGGGCCAGCACAGTGGATTCACCTGGCTAATCCACCTCCAAGTGCCTGTTTCCCACATGGATGTGGGCTGGAGTCCTGGCTGCGCCACTTCCAGTCCAGCTCTCTGCTTGTGACCTGGAAAAGCAGTGGAAAATGACCCAAGTCTTTGGGACCCTGCACCCGCATGGGAGACCTAGAAGAAGCTCCTGGCTCCCAACTTTGGATTGGCTTAATTCTGGACATTGGTGGCTATTTGGGGAATTGAACTAGCAGTTGAAAAATCTTTTTTTCTCCTCTCTGTAAAACTGTCTTTCCAATTTAAAATAAACAAGTAAATAAAAGGGCCCTGGCTCCATGGATGATTCTGGTAGGTGATACGGTTGTTGAAATTGCTCCGTGCTGTCACCTCTTTAACCTAATGGCTCAGTCTCCCCACACTCTGTTTCCAAGAGCAGCTTCTCTGTGTCAGAGTTTAGCAGCCACCAGGTTGGTTTGATGCCTGTATCTCTCCCTGTCTTGGGCAGACCGCGTGCCATGCCATGAAGACCTACCCTGTCCAGGTCACAGTGTCCCCATCACAGCTAGCATTTATGGAGCCCTTACTTGATGCCAGAATCTACTCCAAGCCCTGGAAGTACGTCACATAGCACATTTCTCCCTTCCAGAATTCTCTTTGCCAGTTTTACAGGCAGACAGGGATACAGACACATTGAAATGAAGTCATGTGTGAGCATAGAGCCAGGATTGAAACTCAGGAGTTTGCTTCCAGATTCCATTAATTCTTCTGTGGATATCATTGTGAGAAAAAGACCTATGAAAATGTGCACATTACTAATTGTGGAGTAGAAACCTCATGTTTCCCTGTTAACAAGAAAATAACCAATACAGATTGTTTGTAAAAGGACTGTTTCTTGAAAATCCAGGAGTGCAGGGCCTGTTTGGATGGTGTGATGGCATGGGAAGCCTCTCAGATACAGTTGATTGCTCCCCTGTGCTCTGTCTTCCGTCCCTCACCGCTTTCCAGTCCGGATCCTGTCCAGTCAATCCACAGATATTTTACTAATTGTGTGTCATAGAAAAGTATAGCAAAGAAAATGGATATAATGCTCAGCCCTCAGGTAACATGCATTTTAGTGAGGAAGTGAAAAGATGATAAATGGTGATAAGTGATATGATGAAAAATAACAAGGGTGCAGCAATAGAGAACATACAGTTTTCTGTAAGTTTAAATAGGATAGTGTAGAGGGTTAAGCCCCTGGTGCAGTGGGTTAAGGTGCCACTTGGGGCGCCTGCGTCTGTTGGAGGGCCAGCGTGGGTCCCAACTACCCTGGAAGCTGCTGAATCAGCCTCCTCACAGCCTCAGAGAAGGGGGCTGCTCATCCTTGGCTCCAGATCAAGCAGCAGGCCCAGGGTCCTGTCTTCTGTGAAGCTAAGGATTGATTATGTTTTGTTTGTTTTTTTAAATATTTGCTTATTTTTTTATGGCAAAGGCAGATATTCAGAGAGAGATATAGAGAGAAGGATCTTCCATCTGCTGGTTTACTCCCCAAGTGACTGCAAGAGCCAGAGCTAAGCTGATCTAAAACCAGGAGCCTCTTCCAGGTCTCCCACACAGATGCAGGGTCCCAAGGCTTTGGAATTTCCCAGGCCACAAGCAGGGAGCTGGATGGGAAGTGGAGCAGATGGGACATGGAACTGGTGCCATATGGGATCCCAGCAGTTGCAAGGGAGGATTTAGCCAGTAGACCCTAAGTTAAGGACTGAATGACATATTCACATACATCTTCTTTGAAGTCCTGCATTTGAGTTGGAGATCAAGGCCGCTTCTCAGTGTGAAATTGCTTTAGATCTCCTAGGCAGACGTGGGCTATTCAGTTCTAAGATAAAACTTCAAAGAGCCCATTTCTGTTCATCTGATTTTAGCCAGCCGACTTTCCGGGGAATGAGAAAGCAGCAGTCCCTAAGAGAAGGGGTCTAGCAGGACACTCCCCTGCTGCAAGAAGTGGGGGGGAGGAAGGCTCACTCTGCTGCCAGCCTTGGGTTTCACATGTCTGTTATCCCGGCTACACATGGGACGGGGCAGAAGCCCCACTTAAGGACTTGCGCCTCAGCTCTGAAGGTAGGCTTTTTGAAAATGGGAGTGAAATGTGTTGGCCTCCATTCTTGCTCTGCCGCATAGCAGTTCAGGTAGGCTTCTCCTGGCCTGGCACAGAGCATTTTTCTACTTCACCATTTTACTCTATCAGGATTTGGGGCTAGAAATAAAAATAAAGCCAGGTCCTAATTCATTGAAGTTTTTCCATCAGTTACTCATGGCTCATAAACATAATTTTAAGCTGTCTGCCTGCTTAAATTTATGTGTCTGTTGTTACCAGAAATGCCCAGTGGGTTCTTTCCTCAGCTTAGTATAGAAATTAAATTAAAATTAATCTATTGCAAACAGAAAAGTTTATTTGTGAAGGGACCAGGTGAGCAGGGAAGGGAGGGAAGGGGAAGCACCTCCAGAAAGGAAGCCGGGAGGTGGGGGTGCCTCTCGAAAGAGGGAGATAGAGACACCAAAGGTTTGAGGAAGGGTCTTGGGGTTTTAAGCCTTCCTTGACCCCTCCTTGTTGGGCTGGGAACCTACAGGTAAGATGTTCCCCATTGGTGGTCTCTTAATTAATTAGGAAATGGGTGGGCAATGCTGGTGCCGCCCACCTGAAGGTGTGGCCAAGACCTCAACAGGCGTAGATGGTCTCATGTGTGAGACACACTTGGTAAAAGTGTCTTGGGTGGTTAGTCATACAAGGTGTGAACTGAGTTAATAAGAAAAACAATCTTGTAACTTTTTGTGTTTTTTTCTATTTCTTGAGCATGTTTTTATATATTTGAATTTATTTTTTACAAATTCAGTGTTCATAGATAAAATTTTAAAATTATAATATTTGCTTTTGCCTTCTTTTCCTTTTGTTTTTGAGATAACATTTTTAATTTATATTACAGTTGAGGATTCGATGCCTTGCTGAACTATGTAGTAGCATAATTTAGTATCATTAAGTTTGAACTTAGGGCAAGCCTCACCTGTGTGCACACAGCTGTTTCCCACAGAGATGGTTCCTGGGTTACTCATTCTCAGTAAGATCTGTAACCCAAAAGGCTCAGCGCTCACTGGTCTGCTGCCTCCCTCCTCAGAGATTTACTCAAGTGTCTTCACCATTCAGATGTTCTAGAATAGAGATCCCTGGTCTGTGCTTTTCCTATTCTAAGTTGTGTAACTTGCCCTTATTTCAATCTTTTTTTTTCTCTCTCTCAACAGATTAAATATTTTGATAAAAGGAGAGATTACTTAAAATTCAAGGAAAAGTTTGAAGCAGGACAATTCCAGCCTTCACAATCAGCGACAAACTCCTAGGCTGTTTCTGAACTGCTCAAAAGGGTTGAAGCCATTTTCCAGACATCCACAGATGCTCTCTTGACTATGGGACAACAGTACTTTGTATGATGGCAAACACCATATGTTCCCTGTATATAACAATAACTAAAATCATCAAGTACCAGAAGATCCCAGCACTCAAACTGAAGAACTGAAATAAAATGGCACAAAGTATGCTTTGTTTTAACTTAAGAAGAAATACATATTTTAAGGAAAAAAATCAGTCTTATAAAAACACATGAACTTTTTATTTTGGTGATATTAGAGGGTGAGCAGTAGGCAGACATTTCTAACAGGGATAGACAGAGGCTGTATTCCTGGGAACTAGCACTGTAATACAGGAATTACCAACTGAGTTGCTAGGAAGAGGCTGAGCTTAAAAATTGGGAGTATTGGTAAAATAATAAAAGCTATTAATAAAAATACTGCATCTAATATTGTTAATGATGAGCAGTGAGTATCTAGTAGTAGTTTAATGGGAAAAAAAGCCTTTAGAAATAAAGTGGTAGTGACTGTAGTTGATGGGATTGCCTGTAGAAAATGCCAATGAACAGAAAAGCTCCTGCAAATAATGCTGTAAGGAGGTCATAGGAAACAGGCCAGCATACACAGTGAAAACCACATTCCTGTATACCAGTCAACAAAGGGGTGTGAAGCCTAAAAATATTGCTTACAGTAGCACTCCCCTACCCCTCCAATCAGTATATGCATGCTATATGCTAAGAACAAGGACACTCAAAATAGAAGACTAAATGGGGAAAGATACTATACATATGAATTAGAAGACTTAGTATTATTAAGCTATAAACTCTCCCTGGCTTGATCTACAGGTACAATGGAGCTCCCCCTCCCCAAACTTCTTCATAAATACTAACAAATTGACTTGAAATATTTGTAGAAGAGGCCTGCATTGTGGCAGAAGAGGTGAAGCCCCACCTTGTGACCCACATTCCATCTTCAGAACGATAAAGTCTTGTGATCCACTTCCAGTCCTGCTGGGGTCCGTGCAGTGGATGTGGGGGCACAAAGGTGAGAAGAGTATTGTTCCATTGCAGGCAGGGCTGCAAGAAATTTCCCCAGGGCCCAGAGGATGTCTCTACAACCACCTGACTGCTGCTCCACCTTGCTTTGCATGGACACCGGACCACCCTGCCCACCCTGTGGAATAATTCTGTAATCCATTCAGGCATTGTTTGCTGCTGTGGAGTTGGCTTTTTACTATCAATGTGAGCTTGGAGGTTCATGTCGCTAATAACATCTTGCAAAAGGGCCTTTTATTATTCACGGGTTGTCCCCATCGACCTTATGCTAATCAAGGGGCCTATGTTTAGGGTTTCATTCTTTCCTTGAGCTTTAGGTTCTCCTTTGTGATCCCTTAATTGTCTCAAGATTGAGTTGTGGTTTTTATAATGTTATTTACTTACTTTTTTAATTTATACTGGAAAGGCAGATGTACAGAAAGGAGGAGAGATGGGAAGACCTTCTGTCCATTGATTCACTCCCCAAGTGGCAGCAATGGCCGGTGCTGCACCAATCTGAAGCCAGGAGCCAGGAACTTCTTTCTGGGTCTCCCACGCAGGTGCAGGGTCCCAAGGCTTTGGGTTGTCCTTGACTGCCTTCGCAGGCCACAAGCAGGGAGCTGGATGGGAAGTGGAGCTGCCGGGATTAGAACCAGTACCCATATGGAATCCTGGTGTGTTCAAGACGAGGACCTTAACCATTACTTTATCATGCCAGGCCCTGTAGTAGGAACTTCTATTGAGAGTTTTTAGGTGAAACAAATGGCAGAATTATTCTTGGATACACCCACTTGACTAGAGCTCTGTGCCAGAGCTTGGGAGGGTTTCTGTATAAAGGGGACAGCTTTCTTGCATTTGTCCATTATGATGGTAACATTGTAGTGGTCCATTTCTTTCTTCTTTATGCCTAATTCACACACCCTTTGTGGCCTAATTCACCGCACCCTTTGCAACTTCCAAATTCGGCTGCAGATGACCCAAGTGCCTGGGCCCCTGCTACCCACGTGGGAGACTAGGATAGAGTTCCTGTACCCTGGCTTCAGCCCATTCCAGACCTGGCTACTAAACCCATTTGGGAAGTGAGCCAGTCCTGATGTAATAGCCCAGCGGTTAAATTCTCGCCTTGCATGCTAGGACCCCATATGGGCACTGGTTCATGTCTCAGTTGCTCCACTTGCCATCCAGCTCCCTGCTTGTGGCCTGGGAAAGCAGTAGTGGATGGCCCATGGCCTTGGGATCCTGCACCTAAGATGGTTCCCGGGGAAACCTGGAAGAAGCTCCTGGCTCCTCTGCTTTTTGATCAGCTCAGCTCTGGTTGTTGTGGCCACTTGGGGAGTGAACCAGCAGATGGGAGATCTTTCTGCTCCCATCTGTCTTTGCAATAAAAAATAATTTTTTAAAAAATAGGGCAAAAAAAGCGAACCAGCAGATCCTTTTCGCTCTGACACTCTGCTTTCAAATAAATATTTAAAAAAATAAACACTTGTATGGGAAACAAAAAAGGAATGAAAATAGTCTAAGCAATTCCAAAAAGAATTAAGTTGAAAGATTCATATAACATGAATGGGCAAAGGGTATGTATAGCTTAATAGAAAATTCCAGACACCCACAGGAAAACAGTCAACTTTTGAACAAAGGCAGTTCATCGAGGCGGTTAAAAGATGATCCCAGAAAAACTGGATGTTAAAACATAACGAGAACAGTGCACCCTCACATATGCTTTGCACCTTACACAAAAACTAAGTAGACCACAGACCCAAATGTAAAGCTAGAAATCTTCCAGAAGAAAGTAGGGGTGTGTTGGCACAGCTGGTCAAGCCTGCATGGAGACTGCCCACTTCCCATAACAAGGGGCCTGGATCAAGGCCCGCCTTTGCTGCTGCTCCAGCTTGCCAAGGCACCACGTTCTGGCTCCAAAAAGTTGAATTAGAGGCTCCTGGCTCCCAGCTTGGGACCAGCCCAGCTCTGGCTGTTGTGGTGAGCATCTGGAGAGTGAACCAGAGGATGGAAGATCTCTCCCTTTCTGACTTTTTGAACAACTGTGAGCATCACAGCTCAACAGGGAAGCTTCTGGAGTGGCAGCAGGGAGAGCTCCCTAGCCACATATTTGGGGGACTTCTCTGGTGGGAGCATTCAGATCTCAGCACCACCATGCTCCCTGGCTGACCCACCCACCCACATTTCTGAGAAAACCAGCTTCTGAGAAAGAAAGAACTTCTCAAAAATATCTTGCCATCGCTTCTCTACTTTTTGGCTAAGATCAAATGTAAAAATACCCTCCCCCAAAACAAATACCTTGTTTTATTTGTACAATTGCTTAGAACATATTATTGAAGAAGCCATTTAGCTAAAAGTGTTTATTTAAGAGAATAATATATAGTCAGATACTTAAGGCACATGAAACAGTGTTGACATTCATTCCAAGAAAAACCATACAAACCATCCTAGTAAATTCCAGAAATCCATTTCATCTGTTCACATAGTTTCAAACAGCAGAGGCTCTGCCCACACTGGCTGCCCAGTGCATGTCACGTGAGGCACACGCTCTTGCGGGGGGCTGCCACTCCTGCATGTCTGAGCAGCTGCTGCCGCGTGTACTCCCAGATCAGCAGGGCTCCACTCACATGCACATTCAGTGAGCGGACAATGCCCTGTTGCGGGATTTCCACGCACACGTCCAGCTGCTGGATCAGATGGGCGGGGATCCCTTCACGCTCATTCCTGATGGAGAAGCCGGGAGAAGAAAGGTTAGTTTCCCGTAATCATTCTTTCCTTAGAGACTCAGACCAACGAATGAAGTTGGGCTAGGGGGCCCATTCATCAGTCAAGGTGTAACCAAAGTTACTCCCTGGCTCACTGTGTTCACCTGCGCCCACAAATGCTCCATGTCAGGAGAACCAGCTGAGGTTGCTCTCAGGGTGCAGGTGGCCACTCACCCCAGCAAAAGCAGGGACTTCTCAGGAAAGCAGTACTGGGTCAGGTTGAAGCTTTTGGCAGTTTGCTCCACTCCAATGATGGTATAGCCTTCAGCTTTTTTCTGTTGCAGGTAATCAATTAGCTGAGGTGGTCTTACCTTTAATATTAGTTCAGAAAGAGCAAAAATATTATGAGTACAGCCATACTCTGAGTAAAATGAGAGTTTTTTTTTTTTTTAAAAAAAAAGCATTTTAAAAAGGAAAAGAGCTATAAGTTGTAAACAAAATTCTCCCAACATCATATGCTACACATTACTGCAGAAGGACTCACACGTGAAGACAGAACTTTAGTGAGGACTCCCACCCACCTCCACCAGAGGAAGCCACTGTTCTGCAGAGACGCTGAGGTGCTGGAACTGCTTGTCGCTGACGCACTGAAGATTGCCCACAGCCAGTGCCGAGGCCCCAAACACCTCACAGGTCCGACACAGCCCTACACACAACAGCCTGGAATTATTAGGGGTGCTTGTGCTGCAAGGCTCAGCTCCACAGAGGCCTCTGGAGCTCCCACAGTGGGCTGCCCGGAGATCTAAGCAAGCTCCTGGAAAACTACAATCTTACCTCCCAAGTTGGTTGCTTTATCGATGAGAGAGGCCACCACGATCAGTCTACTAATGGACTTCCCAAGTTTGGCAGCACGGTCCTGAAACACGAGCTCCAGATCTGAATCAGGCACATTATTTTTCCATGGGATAATCTTCTTCTGAACATCAGAAAATTCTGCTTCTGCTTCGCCTGAGCTAGGGCCTAGGCAGGAAAAGAATCCCATGTTTATAAATGAGTGTGAATCTAGATACAAGCATTTATTTACAATAATATGTGTAGGTTTGAGAGTTTGACATAATAGTTCAAAATGAGATCTCTTCAATTACACAAAGCTAACTGAATAACTTCAATTGCCAAACACAACTGCCATGTTTAATAATGATTTTAAGAGGCTAGTGCTGTGATACAGGGGGCTAAGCCATTACCTGCAACACTGGCCTCCTATATCAGACCACCAATTTAGTCCCAGCTGCTCTCCTTCTGATCCAGTCTCCTACTAATGAGCCTGGGAAAGCAGTACTGAAAGATGGCCCAAGTACTTGGGCCCCTGCCGCCCACGTGGGAGACCAGGACGGAGTTCCTGTCTTCTGGCTTCATCCTCGCCCAGTCCCAGCCCAGGTGTTGCAGTCATTTTGGGGGTGAACCATCACATGGAAAATCTGCCTCTCTTTTTGTCATTCTGCCTTTGGAATAAGTAACATAATATTAAAAAAAAAATAGTGGTTTTACACTTTCAACTTCAGCTCTACTAACCAATATTCTGACACATTTGTTCACATTTTAGTATATCAGAAATTGGGAAGCATCCTACAATCAACAGACTATTCCTTTGTTAACTTTTGTTTCTGGGCAGTACATAAAATAATGTTTACTAAAATATAGTATATTAGAGTTTCTGTGGAATTACTATATTCCTAGAAATAATAAAATTTCTATCTTTAAGTAATTTAGAAATACTTAGTGGGAGGTAATCCTTCTAAAATGAAAGACATTCTCTAAAGCAATTCCCTTGTGACCAAACCAGTGAGCACACAGACTGTTCTGAACCTGTCTTGACTGTAGAGCTTTGGTTTCTGTCACAGAGGGCCGAAGCTCCCTGTCAGGGGCGCTTCCTCAGCTCTGTCCTGCTCCAAACTAATCACATAGCTCATGGTAACAGTGCAGGCATGACAGCATGCACACACAGAAACAATGACTAAGGTGCCGAGGAGGGAGT